ATTTGATTTGGAATTCCACATACCACCTATGAAGGCCACGGCAACTCCTTGTTTCCAAATGAAGAATTTTGCAATTGGCAAGAATTTGGAATAGAGGGAGGGACCACCACATTCCAAGTAGCTCACGGATTTGGGCATAGAAGAAGCAAATTCACGGCACATGAAATCTTATTTCTCTTTGCAAATGAATATGAATGGGAGACAACATATTATGGAGGGGACCACGTTACATTTTTGAAAGGTTTTATGCTAATTCACATACACCTTGCACACGGCCTACCACTACAACAAGCAATTAAAAGAGGAGTTTTCTTTATTGAAGGAGTAGAAGAAACAAAAGAGAAAGCGGCCACCATGTTTTGGAAGAAGCCACATGCACACGGAAATTGTATTCCATGCAAAAGAATTTCACAAAAGGAAGGGCCAATTGGAATTAATGGGAGGGACCACTTCATGGTTTAATTGTTTTATTTGGCATTTAGTTGATGGTAGGTAGCATACCACGGCAATCTACAAATTATTTTGGCAAACATATGACAAAAGTGGAGAGAACACTGTCACGTTTTGGGAGCAGCTTCACTCATTCCATTATTCATTAATGGGCCCATTGACAATTGATTTTGACAAACCAAAAGCATAATCTGGAATTAACACAAGAAGCACGCAACTGAACATCCATTATTAAGGAGCTCACGCTCCTTCAAGAAGTGTAGGGGCTGTCCAGCATTTCATTCTTTTGGAAAACATACACGGCCTGCACTGCAGCAGCTGCTACATCCAGAAGTGTAGCTGGTCGAGCACAAGAAGGAGTGCTGTTTCCACGTCCAATTCATTATCCAGCAGCAGCAGAGAAGGTGTTGTCACGGTGAAGAAAGACTCACGGTGATGCAGGGAAGAAGTCACCAAAGTGTGCTGCCATACGGTTGAAGAGGAAATGCATGGTAGAAGGAGAAACATTGGAATAGAGAAGTACAGGGTGCCTCAGTCCTCAACCATAACAGCAGCTCATGATCCAGCAGCGTCCAGACTTCACGCACACAGCAGCTAAGTCCGGGTTTGATCAAAGTGATACACATGAAGAATGAAGTTGGAGAGGAAGAACCCAGCAAGCACAACAGAGAAAGTTGGAATGTGATGTTGTCCAAGCCACGGGTCCAGGAGAGCAGCTGCATAGTGATGGATGATTCACGGGAAGAGAATGGAATAGTGAAAGGAGCCCACATGAAAGGAATTTATGTGATTTTTGCTGGAAAAGAAGATGAAGAAAAGTTGGCAAAAGGAAAGGCTCACGGGTTCAGAGAATTGGCTATAAAATGGAGAAGCATGCAGGAGAGAAAAATCATTAGATTTTAGGAGTAGGAATTAGGAGTTACGTTCTGGCTGGCTGGGTTTTCTCCTCCCCTTTGGGGGAGGTTTTGGATTTGGTTTAATTTTCACTTGCATGTATTGAATTTTGGTGATGTTGGATTTGATTTTCATTTACGCACTACATCCGTTTTCACGTTTAAGATTTTAAATGCAATTATTTTCAGTTCATGAATTTCAGATTTGCAATTTTAATTCTGTTAAAATTTCGTTTTTACCGTTTTCAGAATTTTACTGCTTAATCTTGTTTTTACAGTCAATTAATTTTACTACTTTCAGTATTTAATTTTTCTGCACAACAACCTTTAAACCCCCCCTTTCGTAAAAAAAATCTGAAACTGAACCGACACAAATTCGTCCTTGAGAGACGACCTAGGAGTCACTTCCTAGTAACTATACTGCATTAATTCGTGCACATCAAATTTGTATGACCGCGACAGTCGTATCACCATCAAGCAGATACCGAAGTATGCCAAATTCTTGAAGGAGCTGTGCACACACAAGAGGAAGATGAAAGGCAATGAGAGGATTAGCATGAGAAGGAATGTATCTCCACTTATTGGTAAGTCGGTTCCGCATATTCCTGAAAAGTGCAAGGACCCAGGTATGTTTTGCATTCCTTGTGTGATTGGAAATAGTAAATTTGAGAATGTCATGCTTGATTTGGGTGCTTCCATTAATGTCATGCCTTTGTCCATATATAAATCTTTGTCTCTAGGTCCTTTGCAAACCACGGGTGTGGTCATTCAGTTGGCCAATAGGAGTGTTACCCACCCAACAGGTTTCACAAAGGATGTCTTGGTTAGGGTTGGTGAATTGATTTTTCCTGCTAACTTTTATGTTTTGGAAATGGAGGAGGGATTCTCTCATGGATCCGCTCCCATTATATTAGGCAGACCATTCTTGAAAACTGCCCGAACTAAGATTGATGTGTATGCTGGAACTTTGTCTATGGTATTTGCTGATATTGTTGTTCATTTTAATATCCTTGATGCAATGAAATTTCCAACTGAGGACCATTCTCTGTTTAAGATAGATGGATTGGATGACATTATTGATGAATTTGTTGTTGATGACTTTCATTCTGTGCATGAGAAGAAGCATTCTTTTTATCTTCTTTGCATTCATGCATTGAATCTGGATTTGAATCAGAATTTGATAATGATGTTGATAATGTTGTGGATTTTGATGAAGATTGTGATGTCTAGGATATTGATGTTATGCATGATATTGATGATGTTATTGACATATCTGAGATGGACATTGATTTGGATTGTGATGAGATGAGTATTCTGCCTTTACCTGTACACTCTTTAGAGTCAGAATGCATTAACCACGTTGCAGGAAGTACACTTGAATCTGACTTACAGGAACCCACTCTTGAGCTGAAACAGCTCCCAGATAACCTCAAGTACGTATACTTGGAGGACGATGAGAAGAAACCGGTGATAATTTCTACTTCCCTTGATTCTGTTCAAGAGGAGAAGTTGCTTGGTGTGCTGAGGAAGCACAAGAAGGCCATTGGTTGGAGTTTGGCTGACATACCTGGTATTAGCCCATCCACATGCATGCATAGAATTCTTTTGGAAGATGGGGCAA